TGTGTGTGTGAGTGCGTTATGTGTGTGTACGTGTATGTGTGTGCGTATGCGTGCGGTTTTTTTTTTTTTTTTACCTTTGTGTGCAAGTGTCTAAATACATAGTTTGTTCTATATAATTATAAATGTAGTTGTTTTACTCCCCTATCGATGCGATCTATATTGTTAAGGTGGCGGGCTGCTCCGAACCTGTCTGTCAAGGCCGACACGGACTGAAAAGGAAATGGTCACTTTTAAGCACAAAGGGGCTATCCCGAAAAAATGTTGGAACCTTATTCAGTCTCTTTAAAAGACAAGGAGAGTTTTCTCTATAACCAAACAAATATACACTCCAATGAAGCCAAACTTCATCTAGAGGAAGGGCAATGCCCACTTTTGGTGCAGATCAAGATTTCTGGACGCCCCGAAATCTGGGTTAGCCCGTGTGTACTTAAAAGCGACCAAACAATGTGCCAGCAGAGAGGGTGGCGTTGGTAGTCTGGTATTTCGGCTAACGGACATCTCAGTATGTGTATCGAAACTGATCCTCTTGCCTAATCTCCCGTTTCTCTCATATCACCTTTGGTGACGTCGGTAGCCTAGTGGTTAAGCTACACGATTCTTAATCCGGAGATTGCGGGTTTAGGGGTTCGAGCTTCGGCTCGGACCGACGTTCTATCCTTGGGAAAGACACTTAACACTAATTTCCCTTTTGACTCGGTCCTTTCGGGGATGGACGTTAAACTCGGAGGACCCGTCTCTTAAATAGCCTTTAGTGTTGACAGGGGCGTTAAACCTATATAATTTCATCAATTTTCACCAGCAGACAGTTGGTGATACTCGATTTTAAAACAAAAGAAAAAAACTCTTGTTTAAAGAACCCTCCCGAGGGGGAATGATTAAAAATTATTATAGTAAACTAGACCTCGTCTGAGGGTGCGGTGGCGGAGCGGTTAGTGCGCTCGTCTCCGAAGCGGAAAGTTCCGGTCAAGCCTCGGTTCGGACTCGGATGTTTTGGTTTTTTTGCCCCCTCCTGCCCGCCCAGCAGCCAGTAAAGGGTACCTGACTCCGAGTTGGGGAAGTAAAAGCAGCGTGGAAAGGAACTGACCACCTTACCACAATATGCCAAAGTCCCTGGAAGTTGTCTCATTAACAAGGTAACCCCCCAATGCCCGGATCAAATGCGGGAACAACTTTACTTCACTTTAGACCTCGTCTCTTCTTTGATGGACGGTTAAGCACCTGACCGTTTCTCCACAAACGCTGGACGCTATAAAACTGAATTTATGAACTAGAAAAAGAAGCAACAACAAAATATTAACTATAACAAACACAAATTCAGAGAGGGCAAAGAGATTATATATAATACTACGGCGGCTCTCAGCAGTGACGTCACACGTCTCAGAATTGGGAGCCTTTTTACCCTCATTGGCGTGGCCGGCGTGCCATCATTTACATGAACAATTGGAGCCCCCACCATGCTCCAAACAAGCTCTAGCATATTAAACACCACCCTGCTCCTATATTTCATTGAAAGCTTGTAAATTTCTTCCTAAGACCGCCACGACACCTCCACGTAAGTCTTGAAAAGTACTCAACTATCTGTTGAACAGCACGTCATGTCTTGCTCTTGAAGTTCAGTGTCCAATAGTGGGCACACGCAGCCTCCGTTCGTTTACGTTGGTGATATCACTGCCAAGAACTCTAGAACTAAATATAATCTCTTTGATAAAAAGTGAGCTCACCTCTTGATATCGGGATATCCTTTAGGCCAGGGAAAACTCCCGTCTTATCACGGTTCCTTCTATGAAGACGTTTGAGCGTGTAACTGAGTTTGGATTCCAGATTCTTGAGGCGACTGTGAATATAAAGCAAGTCCCTCGGCACTTTTATTATGACCTCTTTGTGTGGTAATTGTCCTAAAAATCTTACTAGGACCTATTTTCAAAAACCAACTAAAATTAGCCTCCTCAATGTATCAATTCATTTTATTTTCATTTAATGATCGTATGATCGTAATGCCGTATCAATTGGAGGGGGGGGGGCTTTTCTTTGCCAGGTATATGCCTACGCTCCTAAACAAAACTAAACCTCTCATCTAAAGTAGGCCTACCCACGAGCTTGTGAATTGCCATGTAAAATCTAAACAAACCATGCACTAATGTCAGTTAACTTCTATGTCAAATCTAAACGACTCCTAAGCTAAGTTTACATCCGTAAAATGCTAGGTCAAGTCTAAACGACTCATGGGTTTATATCTGTAAAATACTCGGTTAAACCAGAACAACTCACGCGCCTATATCCGTGAACTGCTTCCTGCGAAGGTCAAGGTCGCTCCTGACTCGAGTCTGCAGCTGCTCCAGGACCAGGCACTGGTGCTCATTCTGCACGGACACGGGCAGGTCTCTGTAGCCAGGTCCCTCACACGTGCTGCCGGTGTAGACAGGTCGGTCCTGGGGGTAGTGGTGGTACGTGTACCACGGGTGGGCGGGCTGAGCCAGGAGGCAGGTCAGGAGGAGGAGGAGGGGAAAGAGAGAAGGAGAAGAGATTGGACCCATATTTTTTTGGAGCGGCCTTACTTCTGGTGGTGGTAGTGGCCACGCTCGTTGTAGGGATGTGCGGTGCGGAATCCCGCCTCGCGTCGTTCCTCTAACAACTTTTCACTGTTGGTAGTAGTGAAGGTGCTGTTGACGTTCTTGATGAAATATGCTTCCTGCTGGCTGTTTAGACACGTTGGTAGTGTAGGTCTGTTTTTGACCCAGTATTTATAGACTGGTGTTTGTGCCCTTTGAACAAAGAAGTCTGGACGGTCCTTTCCTTCACGTCTTCGATTTTTTGGTCACTATGTGGACGACCAACGTGAAAGAAACACCAAACTAATCTGCCAGAATCTGGACGACAAAGATTTATCTTACCCTATCTTAACTTATCTTACATGCAAGCGGGGTCTTTTTTTTATTTGACTGCTGGTGGTTCCAGATCTCGAATGAGAAGCCAAGAGCTAAAGAAAGCAGCAGTGTTCTGAGTACTCGTGTACCTTGAAGAATCCCCTACTGGCCGTGTGTTCGGTTCCTCAGTCAGTCTGTTTTAGGTTAATGCCTCTCTTTTGACGAATGTCCCGTCTGTTTTTCTTGTTTTTCAGCCTTGAGATGTGTCGTATGAGAACGGGGTCTGTGGCAGGGGTTTGGGCAATTTCTCATTTGTTGAGATCACAAATTTCGTTTGGAGGTTGTTAAGTTTCTGAAACGATAAACAAGTAACATGAAATGTAGTAGTTGGAACATTTGCCATGGATGAAGTTACAGAAGCTGAGAATAGGGAGTGGGGTTTTTTTCTGTTTGTTTGTTGTTAGTTTGTTTTTTTATTGGGAGGGGGGGCTAGAAGGTGAGGAATGAGAAGAAATAG